TGTCAGGGTGTGTGTGTGCCTCTGCCTGAGCTGTGAGCAAACCACAGCAGCTCAAGGAGAAAATCTTTTAGATAACTCACAATAAACTGCCTTGAGACCGAACAGCAAGAGCCTGCAGTTTTTCTTTGGAAGCACGGCTTGGAGGAGAAATTTCACCACCACATGGGACCCCAGAGCAAGCCTGGGGTTCCCACAGTAAGTGGAATTCACACCCTTCCAGACTGTTTCACTCTGGCTTTTCTCCTGTGTTTGGATTAGCAGCACATGGAAACATGTTTAAATTATCACACAATTATCTGTTGTAACTTGGTCACCGATCAAATGTTCCCACAATAGAACAGAAGCTGCAGGATGAAAATAACAGTGTCTGGTCTTCACACAGGAACATGATAAATAATCCTTGTGCACCCCTGCGTGAAGGAAAAAAGCTGCACAGAAAAGGAGAAGTGGATGGAACACTGCTGTGGCTGCATGTGGAGTTTTTAATGGATGAGAGGCTGGAGAACAGCAACATGGAGAAGAAAAGATCTTTGAAAAGCAGAGGACAAGAGCCCAGAGCCAGCACAGCTGGGAACAGCTGGAGCAGAAACAATCCCTGAGAGATTCCCCCATTTCAGGAAGTTTCTGGAATGTACTGATGTACTTCCTAATACAAATTATCCTGAAGAAAATAACCATAAAATTATTGATAGCCCTGCTCCTTGGAGGGAACAAACCCAATCTGGCACAGACAGGATGGCACCATCCAGGCTGGATGGGGCTTGGAGCAACCTGGACAATGGGAGGTGTCCCTGCCCATGGCAGGTGGGTGGAGTGAGGTGGGCTTTGTGGTCCTTTTGTACCCAAATTATTGCAGCACTCTGTCTAGTAAGTACCCAATGCAAAGCTGTGTGTAAAACAGTGGTTTTAAAGCAGATTTCTGCCTTTGGAAAATTCCAGGGGGGAATGTTTCACATACAGCGTGAAGCAGCTGGGAACCAAAAATATAAATCATGCAGGCAAGGCCTGAGCAGGCAGATGCTGCAAGCACATGTCCCTGCCAAAATCCTACATCTTCCTCCTGACCAGATCATATGTGCAACTGGCTGGAAGAAAATTGCTGGAGTAGGTGTTTGGCTCTGTGTGGGATGCTGGGGAGGCAAGAAACAAAAAGGAGCTTCTTCCACAGAGGAACACTGAGAACATCTCTGAATGCTCCAGGGGAGGAGGGGAAGAACCTGCCCAGGAACAGGTCCTGGCTGCAGGAATTAGTATTTATTAGCAAAGGTCACAGCACGAGGTGGAGAGAGAAGCCCAAGGCAGAAACATCCCCAGGTTGATTCTGAAGGGAGATGGCTTTGAGCCATGACACGACCCATCAGCCCAGTCCTGTCAGCAGTGGGAAGTCAAGCAGGATTTAGCTGAATCCCTTTGCAGCCAGGGCCCACCCCAGGCACTGCTGTCACAAGGATGAACCTGTGTGAGCTCCTCCAGCATGGTGCTTTGGCCTGAACGTTCAGCTGGAGGCCACTCAGCTCCATTCAGAGGGATGTTCCCCTTTTATCTCAAAAGAAAACAGAGCCAGGACCAGGTGCTGCTCCTTGAACCCTGAAAAGGCACCACAAGGAGATCTCCAGGCTGACAGGAGGACTGGTAGGAGTCCCCAGGCTGCTTCCATGGCAGGCAGTGACCAGGGAGGAGCAGCAGGAGCACTGAGCTGTGATGCCAGCTGCAGAAGGGCACCCGGGCCTGCAGTGACAACCACAGGGACCAGAGATGCAGGAGGGAAACTTTCCTCCCACATTGCAGCTGTCTGCTGCCTCTCACTCTGAGAAACCCCCACTTTACAATCTCCTGGGCAGAAAACCTGCTGGAGCAGAGTCAGTGGTGGATGAGCTGTGGAGCAAACCCATTTTGCAATGGCAGGGAGTGGAACAAGAGGATCTCTGCAGTCCCTGGCTCCCAGGCTGTGCTGGGCTCTGGGATCCAGCTGTGGTCACTCTGCACTCACACATGCAGAGCAGCTGTGAGGACAGACCAAGGACTGGCAATCCCTGGAGGTGCCAGGAGCCAAGCTCCTGCTCAAACCATGAATTGTCACCAGGTTTCTTAGGGCTTTGTCCAGGCAGGCCTGAAAGACTCCAAGGAGAAGCAATCCCAATTTCCCAAGCCCCCATCTCAGTGCCTCGTCTTGTTCAGAGCCCAAAACTGCCCTTTCCTCCAGCCAGAACCTGCTGCTCCATCCCAGCCTGAGCTGTTTCTGCCCTGTCACAAACCCAGGCACAGCCTGGCTGCAGCCCAGGGAGCTCCTGGGGCAGGGGACAAGCACCTCCAGGGCCCCAGGAAAAAGGACAGTCCCTAATTTCTGTTTCTTTACCAGACCCAAAGCATCACAGACCAACAGCCACACCTGAGGTGGGATGTGGGAATCCAGGGCTTCCCTCTGGCTGCCCTGGGACCCTGGCAGGGGTCAGGAACCCCC